CAACACAATTCAACAAACAAAAGTTAACCACAGTCATTTTCATCCACTACCACAGCCAACTATTTTGTGCTTATACTAGTTTCATCTTTGAAGAGGAAATATTTTCTTAAAAAAAGTCCCAGCACAAATTGTTGGAAGATCTGTGGCTTCCCAGAATATTGACTATTTTCATCGCCATCTGAGACACTGTGTAGGTAATAGTAACATGCTAATGAGCATAGTGGAAGTAACAGGAGAAAGCAGACAGGGGGCTGTCCTTTCTAATTCCATGAGCTCCCCAACTGGGCAGCCTCCAAGGAAGAACGCAGGGAGGTTGGCCGTGGCCATGAGAAACACAACGCAACTACAGTTTGCCTGAAGTCTCTGCTGATGACTCCTTACCCAGCATGTGTGAATCTAGTGGTTGTGAAAGTTAATAAGAGTGGAAGTGAAGGGGGTCCTCTTGTCCACCACCCCTAGAAATCTTAATATTTATGGCTTCTGGGAGGTACAAAAGGAGAACTGAGCTCAATCTCAATACTGCCATTTCAGTAAGTCTCATAACAGGAGATAATGTGAATATATTTGATGATATTCAAATATCATCTGTGTGTTATCATTTTACTCAACACTCAAAACACGACTGTGTCTGCCAAGCAGATTATATAGCTTGGCAAACTTTCATTTCATGAATGACACTTAATATGAAATAATTTTCACTGACAAACAGAATAACTGTGATATAACAGATCTTGTGGTGGGACTAGAATAAATCCATGCATTCCAGAACAATGATAACCAACTAACTTCAAACGCCTCCATGCGGCGTTCCTATAACATGTAAGGGCCCTTTGAAAACATTATTTCCCCTTCCCCCATGACAGACTGGCCCAGGGCTCTTCCATACATATGGCCCATCCACTCTTGTGCTGTGTCCAGAATGGCTTACTAGAGCCTATGGTCTGCCATTCTTCCTTGCCACTCTGAGCAAAGCGCCCTGTTAAACTGTCAAGGCAAAAGTCCCCTCTTTGGCTCAGAGGTTCCAGGACGCTACAGGTAATTCCCTTGGGCCTTCTTTAGAGAATATTTGGGACACTTTCAAAGCAGCGGTTTTCAAACAGTTCACAGGTACTGGAACCCTGGAGTTCTAGGGTACGCCACAGGCACGGCCCAGGAGAACGGAGCAGATTCTGGGCTTCCTGGGTCTTGGTTCCACCAAATCAGCTCTGTTTTTATTCCACTCATACATTAGGGTCTTGCATAAGATTCCATTTGGTGCTAAATATAAAACCAAAAGGACGTCTTCAAAAATGCGTGAAAACCATTGCCTCCCTCAGGCCCTCCTACCCCGCTCCCCAGGCGGTCCCCTTCAAATAGAGGTTTAGGTACTACTCATTTTCCTTTCCTGGCATGCGGTTGGTATTCTGAGCTAATTATTAGAAATTTGGCACAGTCATCAAAAAATGCCAACTTCAGTGAATGTCTATGTATCTGACAACTGAAAGTGAATTGGAATTTTATTGAACATCTTGTTAACGTAAATTGGTAAAATAAGTTGCACATAGCAGTATAATGATCAATTTTTCTAATCTCAAAGTCAAAAATCAACAGAAATGCCAAACATTTGGAGTCATTTAATTGGACTCCTCAAAGGTTCATTTAAAAATGAACTGTTCTGAGCAAACTATTTGACAGACAATGGAGCATGAAGGCAGATTCTAGAAACTAACAAATCCCATTCATTTCCTTCAGTTTGTAAAAACAAGCAACTGACATGTTTCCTGCCAATGAACACAGTTGAAGATAAGAAAGTTCCCAACAGGAAATCCTTTGCTAAAAGAGAACAGTTGTGCTATTAAATTTAACTTTTTTTTTTACCAAATCTCAATCAGTTAAATATCTGATAACATGGGGTCATGAAATATATACTAAATCACCCCCAGTGATGCTATATTGCTTCTGAAGTCTGTATTTCCTATGACATCGATGCAGGATATTAAATAAATATTACAATATAGTTAGGATTCTTTCCGCCTCCTCTCCCCCATCCCATGCAATTAGTTGATGAAAACAAGGGGAATTTTCTGCTTTTTCAAAAGCTCAAAGTGTTAGTTAAATGAGATTTAAAATTGACCATTTTCAATTATGATTAAGCAATACAGTGCTATAAATCATCATGACTGTAAGAAGGATATTTCTAAATGAATATCAAGCACTTAAAATTTAATGACTCCCACTGTCAAGATCAGAAAAATATAAGAAATGCAATGGCTTTATATTTACAAGCTTCAGTGTTGATCCCCAAAGTCAACATTAAGCCCCCTTGGTTATTTTTCACTTAGCAAAGTGAAAGGGGGAGATCTCCAAACTTTCCTCCTTTCTTTACTCTCAATAAAGCACTACAAGACATTGAAAATATTCAGTCTTGATTTGGGGAACCTCTCAATTCTCCTAAAAACTAGGATAGCACACTTCTCCATCCATAGAAGAAGAGGAAACTTTTCTCAGTGAACCGAGTAGTAATAACTGTAGTTTTGAAACAGCTCTTATTTCTGTTTAGGACTGTCTTTTCCCTGCTGAGCTACTGAGAACACCCTTCCTTCCCAAAGCACCAGGCAGAGTTTTCATTTATCCATGCACTTGCAGCCTTAGAGCAAAATCCAAAATGCCACAGCTCTTGAAATTCAATTGCTACAGTTCAAGTTGGACACCTCTTGCAAACAGAAACTCTTCATTACACCATCCCCAGACAACTTCATCCACAGGTGACTGTCTCGTCTTTACAGCCCCACAAAGAGTTTGGTTCTAACAGCAGACGCAGGAATCAGTTTGCTTCCACAATTAGGTGATCGGATACATTCTTCTTAGCCTTTCCTGGTGCAACTCAGAGGTAGCAAAATGCTAAGCAAGCATGTGTGCTCATCCTTGCTTGAAGCCCTTTTCCTCACATAGTCTCAATCAAAATACAGTTATGAAATCCAGGAGACTGCATTTTTGGTTGTTGTTGTAAAATGACCTTGATTTGACAGGCACCAGTTCAGGTTTCAACAGATGCTGTGGGAAAGCTTACAGAAGCCAACATGTTCTCCAGGCATCTGTGATGACATGCAGGGGTTTTTTCTTTTTTCTTTTTTTTTTAAGTGGTGGTTATGGTAGTGTATGTGTGTTGGGGTGGGGGTAGGGGGTTACTCTTCTCAGTTTCCATGACAACCATGTCTCTACTCACGGGTTATAAGACACCATCCACTTCCTGTGTCTAAATTTTTCAGCCAATCAGAAAAGTGTTTATAAATTTAACAACTTCTGGGACCGTGATTCTTTAATTAGGGTGTTTTAAGGCTCAAATGGAAGTGGCCACCGGCCTTATATTTTCATCTTATGGAGAGAATATTTCACTGTATCCACTAATTCATACTTTTTTGATTGTTTGCTCTTCATTGCCTTTTTCTTTCCCCATTACAGACTTAAATTTAATGCGTGATACACGCTAATAATGCACCAGACACTTAAATTATCAAAGATAATCGCCAAGCATTCATCTACTGATGGTGCTATGATCAAAAAGAAAAAAAAAGTTACAAAAAAAATTCTAAGTTGAACAACTTCGCATTCTACAACTCCTGAGGAGAAATCATCGAGAATATATTGTAAAGTGATACGTCTATAAATGTAATCTAGTAGCTGACGTCCGCAAAGAAATTTGTCACCAAAATGGCCTACTTTATCTGGATAGAAACAACAAAAAAATTAAACACAAAGGTATCTCAAGCAAACTGCACCCGAATTAAAAGTCAGGCTAGCAGGAATTGTGCACGAGAAGGCTACGCTGGGATTACAGCGTGCTTTTAAACGAAGGTTTGGGGTGAATGTTTTCCTAAGTCTCCATCGCACTGACCAATCAGCGTGAGAGGAGAGCGGGCTGTAGTCATTTGTGCAGTCTTCCGAGCTCTGCGCTCTCCGAGCTGCTCTCCCTTCTCCGAGGCAGAGCTGGCGATCAATGAAAAACAGGGAACAAAAGGAATATAACAGGACGTCTTCCTTAGCTAAGGAAAATGCTTCCCTTTTTTTTCCTCAATGAGCCGGTCGCACCCTGCCTACGACAGCTCCACACGGGAGCTCCCAGCAGACCAGCCCCTTCGGCTGAAGCACATTTTACATTTGCAATCATGTGTCCCAACTGCTGGCAAATGTGTCACCTTAAGCACATCCTGTGACAGAGGGCTCCCCGAGCCCTACCAATTGAAACTAATAAATGAAAGAAATTAATAATCCCACAATTAAAAGCTGCCCAGAAAGACTGCATGTCCCTTCCCCAAATGTCAACCCAGGAGTACAAAGCATGAAAAATAGTCTCTTCAGCCTCCCCAGCCAGTAATCATGGTTTTCTCCTCAAAACAATGTTTCTCCAAAAAGAGAAAAATTCTTCCTGCTCTCAAACGAAACTCTCATCAGCATATGTCATATCAGGATAACCAGATACAGTATTTGAAGAGAGGTTTAAACTGCCCACAGATTTGACACTCTGTTTATAACTGATAGCAAAACAGTTGCGACAGCAATGCTGTAAACTCTGCCCGAGCCAAACTCCACATTTAACACGTTAGTTCCTTGAAAATAAAAGTAATGCCTGAGAAGCCCACAGAAGTAAAGACCTAGGAAGTAATTAACACAATTACATCAATTATTGGACTTTTTAAAAATTATCCATTTGTCTGCTATTTAAAAATGAAAAAAAATTTTAACGACTATCCACAAATTCCTGAGAAACTTTTTTTAAAAATGAACTTACTTTCGAGACAAAACTAATGAAAATATGCAACTTGCCATGCCTGGATCTTCCCCATTTGGACTGCATGCTATAAATCAATCTGAAACCAGGTGGAAATACGGGGGCAGACACCTTAAAAAACCAAAAGGTGCCCCAAAATGCAGCAGCCTGAACAGTGAGGGCTTCTCGTGACAATGCTGAACCAGAGCAGAAGATCAGGCAGGAGGCAGGAAATGAGCCCCATTTTCGTTACCTTCGATCGCCTGCCCCCCCGCTGCTTCTCGCGGCCGCATTGGGGG